TTTAATCAATTAAACTTTATATAATTACTTACTCTCTTATAGTGGTTCTTGCATTGTAACATCTAGTACAGCATCTTACATGAAACTGCCAATGTACTTCAGTTGATTCAATAATACCACAAAATATGCAGGATCGAGGTGAAGCAAGGAAGAATCTAATATATTGTAATTCACTCCAGTTTGGTGGGGAGGTCGTTGCAGTCCTTTAAAATAAGTTGTTCTTGCTTTTTTCCAAATTTGTTGGGTTTCATCATCCATTAAGATAAAATGGAATCTTGAACACGTTTGCATTAGCGCCAACAAATCGGATGGTGGTAAATCTTCACAAACCCGGAAGAATATTTCAAGGGGCATAATTGAGAAAAGTGCCAATTTTTTGTCAATCTTGGCATACTCATCAAGATTCAAACTATAATAATAAATGAATAAATAAACAAATAAATAAAATAAAAATAATAAATAACTAGAGTGACGGCGAGTGGCAGGCGATAGCCACCACCGCCATCCTTAAAACACTTACCCTCTTTCAAATTCTTGTTTATTTCTTTTAATGATTTTCGACGACATTTTTTAAAGAAGGTTGTGATTTGATCGACGTGTAACATTAATTATTTATCCTATTGGTTTTTTTTTTTGGGAGGACAGACGCAAATTTTTTTTTTTTGGGAAAACAACTTATTTTTTGACAGAGCCCAAGGTGACAAAACGTGAGTGTTGTTGTTTGGTTTGGTTTGGGTCTCCTAAAGAAAACGTGTTAATAACTAACCAGTGGTACTATTTTTTATTTGTATTGTCTTTTTTGGTTATTATAAATATTTTAATTGGAAATCAAAATGCAGTATAAGATCCTTATCAACAACAAATGTTTGGTATTTTGCTTTTCGTAATCAATAATAATACTATTATTGTAATTATATAATCACAAGATGTCAAGACAGCACATTGTTGAAAAAGAGACAATTCAAATATGCAACGTTTGATTATCGGAAATTTTTAGAGACGTTGAAGCACGCACACTATCTTGAACACTTTACAGTCATTCTCACACATTCCTCATGTACATAAGGCTAATCTGACCTGATTGATCGAAGATACATGATGCTACAGAATTCCAAGGGTATTGTGTGGCTTTGGAGTTTACCGAGACTGCATCAATCGTCAAGGACGCTTTTCACTAATCTTTCCTCACAGCACCCAGACCAGAGAAGGCTGCTGGCATGCTGGCCGAAAAGTTGCCTGCAACGATCCCACCGCTAGGTAAGGATGGCACTGTGACCAAGCTGCCATGTAAATATCCAGATCCATCAAAGCAAAGAGAATCTGCAACTTGTTTCAAGCACATGAGGTTACAATTCAGAGCAGGGTTGGTGGCCCTGAAATTGCATTTGGGTTCTGATGTTAAGAGGAAAGCTGTAAAGTAGTGTTTGTTCTGTATAATTATTTTCCTAAATTCTCTGTTTCTTTGATACTAACACAAATTTATAAATTTTGGGTAGGGGACTGAATGGGTTTTTGTCCAATAAGTCCTCTATCCTATAGATTAAAATTATTGCATGATTATATATATTTTTGTCAGCAATATGGCCAACAAGAAAAAGTCATAAAATGGTTCAGATTTTGGTATGTTATATAAATTAATCATTCCCAAATTCTCTGTTTTTCTTTAATTTTTATTTTGACCAACTGAACTTGTTATTTAAATGGGGGTAGGATTGTTGGTGACTAGGCATGCCACCAAAAAGACAACAACCCAAGACTCAAAACTCCGAATTCAGGGAAAACCAAAACAATAACTTGTGTTGTAACCTCCTGAGTTGCAGAGTTGCAGACACCAACTTTGTACTGGAGGGGGATAACACAAAGCAAGCATCACACAAATGTTAACTCTTGTCAACAATCAATGCCCATATGGAAACAGCAAAGTCTGGTCTGAGGTGAATATAAGGGAAGTTTTGTCCATCTTGAAAAACCTTCTGACATATGGGGGCCTTCACCTGTGGGAAAAATTCCACAGTTATGGAGGTGTGCGAGAGCACCCAACCATATGTTTGTGATAGGAAAATTTTATTAAATCTGACACCTGCAATCAACATCAGATTTATTATTCATAAGGAACCACAATTGATAATTAGGAAAAATAATTTATTTTGTGACCCAGAGATCTGGGTAGACACGCATTATTAAAAGTTTCATTTATGCATGGCCTTGGTGTTATTACTACTTGGGTGATGCAATTGTTTGTTATGTCAATTATAGCATCAAATGTATTGAATAATAATCATGACCATCATGAATATTTGATGGATGGAGGCATTCAGATACAAGGAAATGATAAGTAGCTAAGTCATGTTTGCTTTATTAAAGATATATATAATTATATTTAAAAAGTAATTATTCCACTCTTGCAATGAAAGGTATTATTCTGAAATCATTTGTTTATTTAGCATTAATGATTGAATCAATCACACAGGTGGTAGTCAATTTAAATGGCATTCATTTTTTTAAATGAAATGATATTATTTTAAATGTATAAAATTTTTTTAAAAGATGTTTTTATAATAATGATTTTTAATATTGTAAATCTTTTTTGATAAATCTAAATTATTATTAATATTAATAAAAAAATCAGAAACATGAAATTTTTGCACATAATTATTTTTCATGGGGCCAATTGACCAAATTTTTCAATTTCTCTTCATAAATTATTGAACAACCATATTTTTTAAATCATTTACTTAAACCTATTCCACTGATTCATCTAAGATTTAATTCCATTCATATACTTCAATTTTAAACCAATTATAAAAAAACTTACAAAGTGAACATAAAATTATATATATAGGGATAAGTGTATATATGAAAAATAATAATAAATATAATGGTTCTAATGAATATCAAAAAGCAATTGATTTTTTAGAAAAAGGTTGTGATTGTGGTTGCTTTTCCAGAATTCCCAAAGAACAATTTGCAGAATTAAGGGAATCCTTTCAGGCTCTCACTAAACCAGAACAAGACATTTTTTTAATGGCCCAGATTAAAGCAATGGATGGTGGATCAATAAGCACTAGCAGACGCCTTAAAAAGAAAACTAGATCCAATAAAAAGACTTTCTATCACTGAAATCACAATACATTACTTTGTCAAGAAACTTATCTCAATATGTTAGGAATTGGTAGAACTAATTTTGAAAATATTAGAAATCATCTGATAAACAATGGTCTTTTACCAAGAATTCATGGTAATATTAAAAGAATGCCTCAATGGAAAACTAAAATGGTGATTGACAAAGGTGTTGCTGAAATTGTAAAGAATTTTCTGGAAAATTATGCAGAAGTCCATGGATTACCAAGTCCAGGAAGAAGTATCAACAGAATAACTCAATCAATTGTATTCTTACCAACTGAAATGAGTTATAAATCAGTGCACAGAGATTTTTTAGCTAGTCTAGAAAAAGATAGCAAGTTGAAATTATTAAAATATGATGTTTTCAGAAAATTATGATATCAATTGACACCAGAAATTCAAATTATGAGTCCCAGGACTGATTTGTGTGATACTTGTCAGCATTTTAGAGATGTTTTACATTATAATGCTCACCAAGAAGGAGAAGCTAAAGAATTACTCAAAAGATTTAAAGAACATCTATCTAAGGCAAGATTAGAAAGAAATTATTATAATAAAAACACCAAATTAGCAGAAGAACAAAGAAAACTAGTTGACCAAAATTATTTTCAAGGTAAATCACAATATTGCAGCATTGATTCTACTACTCATTATAGTTATGATTGAGCCCAAAATGTCTGTGTACCCCATTCAGATCAACAAGTAAGTAAAATCTATTACCTTAGTCCATGTAAAGTTCATTTATTTGGTGTTCAAGATGAAGCAGTAAGGGAACAAATCAATTATGTTCTTAATGAAAATGAATTATAGGAAAAGGGCCCAATGGCACACTTAGCATGATTTTTGATGGAATTAAAAAATTGAATAAAGGTGAAAAGCATTTAAAGATTACTTGTGATAATGCTGGTGGACAAAATAAAAATAATGTAACAATTTGATTTTATTTATATCTGGTAATCTGTGGTTATTATGAAAGTATTGAATTGAATTTCATGATTCCTGGGCACACCAAATTCAAATGTGATGGTAGTTTTGGTTTAATAAAAAAACTCTATAGGAAAACAAGAGTAGATTGTCTGAATCATGTGGTTGAGGTGGTAAAAAAGTCTAGTCCAGCAGGATTGAATAAAGCTCAATGTTATGAGGGTGGAAAAGGTTTTCAGTACTTAGATCTTAAAGCAATTTTGGGAATTTATTTTAAGAAATTACCAAGCATCCAGAAATATCAACACTTTCTTTTTGAAGCAACTAATCTTGGTATGGTCAAAGCCCAGGAGATTGCTAATGGCCCTTTTACTAAATTCAATTTATTGAAAACTAAGGCAGAAGGCATTTGTGAAGAAATTAGAACTTTATCTATTTTAGTGTTAACACCACCTCCTTTGGATTACAAAAGGCAAGAATATCTTTACCAGAATATTCGCCCATTTGTGAAAGATGAATACAAAGACATTACTTGTTCAAGACCATTCTATACTGGCAACAAATAAAATATTTAGAACAAAAACACCTCCATTACTTTATCACACTTGTTAATTTGTCCTTTATTGTCATTAAGTTTAATAAGTTTGATTTTTTGACAAATATTGTTAGTTTTAAAGTAAAAAAAGTACTAAAATAATTTATATACTTAATATGCACTCATAAAAAGGATATAAGTATATTAAAAGAATAATGACAAACCAAGAAATAATTTTAACTGAAAAGGAAATAAGAGAACTAATTGGTAGTTTAAACCGAAATCCAGATGAAACAGAGATAAGAGCAGTTATAGATTATTTTTGACTTCGCCCTTATGCATTAAAACACTTAGAAGAAAAAGAATTTAGAAAAAGTTTTGTTCGCCTTATTTACATGCATAAAAATGCAATGAATTGATGAGTAAAAGCTGATAAAGAAGTTAAAAGTCTACAGCCACTAACATCTAGTTTAAAGAAAGAGAGGAATGAATTGTTTGAAAAAATTAAAGAATTAGAAGCAAGAGTAGAAGAAAAAGATAACATAATAGAGAATTTAGAAGAAAGAGTAGACATGGAAGTTGAAATGAACTTGAAAGCACTAGACAAGTCCAAAGAATATCATGATAGAAATCTTTTCTTATTAGGAATGTCAAAGGACACTATTATAACCAATTTGAAATTAAAAATTCAAGAGTTAGAGAAGAACCAAAAAGTAGACAGAGTAAAACAATTACAAAAATTAGAAAACAAAGCCAAAACAAAAGTTAAGGAAAGAGTTAAAAAACTTAAAGAAAATGTTAATACAATCAAAGAAAATGTTAAAGAAAAGTTCAACACTTATATTTTACAAAACAATAAAATAACTATGAAATTAGAATACAGAATTTTAAAAATAGCAAAGGATAGCATAGAGAGTTGCAATTATTGCCCATTATATGTTCATTATGGAGAAGACATTACTTTCACTCCTGCTACCCATGAAATAATGGCATATGATAACAATGGAGATTGTGCTGATATTGCTTCCATCTGTGATAATTGTAAAAAAGATTTTGAAAACAATAATCTTTCTTATTGTGAACTTTGTGGCAGATTACAAAGAAATAGGAGAGGTTGTTATTGTAATCTATTGAAAGATGGAAAATTTAGAATACTTTCTGCAGAGGAGGGAACTTCCCAAACTATCAAATCTCGTTTAGCAAAGGAAACCAAAGAACTTGAAAGGAAATTGAAAACTGCCAAGGAGGAGTTGAACATTGAAAGAGAAGAAGTAGCCAAGTTTCAGGAAAAATCAGAAGAGTGAAGTAAAAAGCAAAAACAGGAATTATTGAATAAGATAAAGAGTTTAGAAGAAAAAATTAAGCAACTAGAAAAGGAAAACAGGAAATTAAAAGATCAACAGAATGGTCAATTAACTGCTCAAATTGAAGTCAAAGAGACTAAAAGATGATCTTGATTGAAAATAAAAAAGTAATTTAAAGAGAATTGAGGAAATGCTTTCCTCTTATATATAAACTGAAATTTACTCCAACTATCAAAGAAAATGGTATTTATTTTCTTTTTAAAGATTTTTGCTTTTTATTAGGTAATAATGCATCATCATGATGCTTTCTTTTTCCAATGTTTATTATTTTTCTTTCTTCTTGGTAAATTTCATAAGTAATCCTTTCTTTTCTTAGATAAGTTTCCAGTGTCTGAGTATCATTTATTTTGAAAATATTGGGTGCAATTTTTTCACCTTGTTCTTTTTTCAAAATACTTCTAATAGTGCTGTAATTTTTGGGTTCCATAGTAGATCTGATGTAAATTAACTTCATATTAACTATTTTTATTATTATATAGAGGTAATTCTATATATCACCTAATATTAAGAGGGTAACAAATGGAAGATTTTAATAATCATGTTACTAAATTTTGACCCTGAAATATTTGGTAATATCAATGTTCACTTTATCTGGTTTTGTTGCAGTATGCCCCATATAATTATTAATTTTGAAAGAAAAAGCAATATGATTTATAATTATTTTAACAATATTAATGGACAGGTAATTTAATTGTTGTTAAATTAAAAGTTATCTTTATTTTATTCGAATTTAGATTCTTTAAATAATAAAATTACAATTCTTAAAATACAAATATAGATCATGAAAGAAATAAATAAAATTATAATCTCTATTGTATGGGAGCTTATAGACTTCCTGGAAAATATTAATCATAAAGATAACATTCATAAATAAATATAATATAATAATAATAATTAATAATCATTGTACACCATCACCAACACTCCTAAAAAATATCAGGACAATAATATTCATAATTCTTTGAAGAAAAATGCAAATAATCCCGATTGCCAAATTAGTGATAGTGAATTTAAAAAGACAAATTTCTCTACATTACCAAATATGGTATTAGTATATATTAATTGCCAATTTCGACTAGAATTATTTTACCAATTGATCAAGATCAAGATTGTTACAACAATTATAAAGTTTGTATTTATTATATCAAAAATATTGCTTCAACCACAAGGAAATAGTTGACCTTTTTATATTATTAGAAAAATGACAAAACTACAAAATGGTGAAAAGGCAAGAGTCATTATAGGTTACAATTCTTTTCGATTCTATATTAATATAGTAATAGCCAATGACAAAAGGGTCTGATTTTTGATCTTTTATTTCATTAATATTAAACAATTGATCAATGAATTTTATTGGATTTTATGTGACAATTGGTTATTTCCAGTCCATTATTTCTTTATTTTATAGTTTTTTTTCTTTGTTCAATATCTCTATTATAATTTTTGTCAATTTCCTTCTTGATATATTAGTATTAGTATTAGTAAATAAATATAATCCGGTATTAGTATTTACTATTTGAAAATCTTTGCTTTTTTGGCCTCTTTGTTATATTATTCGTCACACCTTAATTATAACAATGTTATTTATCACGTACGTCACATGATAAGATCTTGTGTAATTTTCAAACCGCTTTTTCAAACCAAACCAAACCAAACCAAGCTGCCCCATCCCTACATAAGACCTTCCTTTATATTAGTCACGGGACATTGCAGATCAAGTGTCATTCAATATAAACATTGCATGAATAAAATTATTATCGTCCACTTCAAAAAAAAAAATCTCTGTTTTTCATATAGCAAGCGATTTTCAACCATAATAAATTTTTTAGAGCCAGACTGGGGCTTT